TGGAGTCAAACAGCAAGAGTTTCTTGAGTAAAACAAAGGGATATCAGTTCGAGGTTGTTTCATAGGTTGGTCAGTTCCGGTGAATATGAAGCGCATGGATACAAGTTATGCCTTGGACTGAAAGACAATTCCTAATCTGCTTACAAGGATGAAAGAATGTGATCAATAAGTTGGAGCCCGAGGATGTGAGATTAATTGAGTTGAGAGGTGGTGATCTTTTTAAAAAAAGAAACATTACTGCAAGAGTACTGCAAGGACTATATTACCAGACTTGGATTAGAGACCAATTCATCAAGTAAAAGTTTTGGAAAGGCCCTTTGAGGAGGGGTATAGAAGGAAATTTCTGAGTGTAGAATCAATTTCTTCAGGCCCAGATTGATTGTCATGTTGGTTGGAACAGTACAACCTCTCCATTTTTTATGCCACTGGACAGGGCATGTTGTCATTTGCCAAACATTTGTCAAGACTGCATTGCATCGTGCTTGTGCTATTAATATGTCTTAGTCATCCAATTAAGATTAGACAGTGTTCAACCAACTGACAACATTAAATTGAGGGAATGCTTTCCCGAATTCAAATGGATTTTAAGAGATAAATATTGTAGTTTGCTTATTTAACAATTTGCATGCTCCAAATAGGTGAACTGGTAGTATTTATGGATGACCTTTTCTTTACAGGAATCACTAGTGTCCAATGGTTACAAGTTCTTACGCATTGACGGTACCACAAAAGCCATTGACAGAATGAGGGTTGTTGATGTAAGTGTTATAAATCATTTAAATCAGAATTTTTTTTAACAATAGTTAGTTAGAATGGTCATTAAATTATATTAATCTTGTGTGTAGGATTTCCAAGAGGGTAACGGGGCTCCCATATTTCTCCTAACATCACAAGTAGGTGGTTTGGGCCTTACGCTTACACGAGCAGATCGTGTGATTGTGGTTGATCCTGCTTGGAACCCAAGGTGTTCTCTTATAATTTTTAATTATAAATTTCAACTTATTTTCTATTTGGTTTGATAAGTCTCTTCATTTTCAGAAACAAAAGTATTTACCCATGTCTGCTGTTGTCTTGTATCTGTTGGCTACTTTGAGGTGGTTGTGATTTGTTTTCTTGTCCATGTGTGGTTTTGATATTCTTTCTGGCTTTGGACTGATATGATCAGTATTCTTTTCCCTTTTGCATGGAAGGTTTAGTTCTCCCTGTAATCCTAAAGCCCGCTTAAATTGAATTTGAGAACAAATTTTT